TCAACAGTTATAATCAAACATATAAAGACATCATCATATATCCAAAGGTCACAGGTTAATTTCATATCATTTATATCATCTTTCAATCAATATCTTTATCACATAAGCACACTTTGATTGCGCCACAAGACCAATCGCATGCCCATACATGAGGGTTAGCGGATATAGCGCTAACACGGCCCTGTAGCTCATTAAACCGTTGACGAGCTCAACTGCGGACCACAGCCCTACACACCGTTGACGAGCTCAATCGGTGGACCGTGGCCCTCTTTGTGGACTGTAGCTCTACACACCGTTGACGAGCTCAATCGGTGGACCGCAGCCCCTGTAAAACCGTTGACGAGCTCAACGGCGGACCACAGCCCTACACACCGTTGACGAGTCGGTGGACCGTGGCCCTCTTTGTGCACTGCAGCCCTACACACCGTTGACGAGCTCAATCGGTGGACCGCAGCCCCTGTAAAACCGTTGATGAGCTCAACAGTGGACCACAGCCCTACACACCGTTGACGAGCTCAATCGGTGGACTGTGGCCCTCTTTGTGGACTACAGCCTTACACACCGTTGACGAGCTCAATCGGTGGACCGCAACCCATGTAAAACCAATTTGACTGCAGCCAATATTGGGGAGCCATGCACATATAACACGTAGCAAGCACATGCAATTCATATTAACACATTGGGAGAGGAGAGAAAACGAATAATGAAACCTATGCGTGGTCATCCACATATAGGAATAGTCCTAAGGGGTTCATACATCTTTCACCTAGGTTACGGGGTACCAATTCAACTAGCATACAATACACAAGACTCTTTTATCCTACAAACGGTACCCGAAACATCAAACTAGACTTAGGCACGATAAACGGAGTCCGTCGGGACACCACGAGGGTTGGGGAAACATCAAACGGGGAAGCCAACATCCCGAGGTAGGGAAAATTCCAGCGGGTGGCAAGTCTCCGGGCAGCGAGTGCCTGGCGGTCAGTCGTCTACCCGCTGCCGGCGACGCCAATTTGGGCAGCGGGTAGGTGGCGGGTCCCCCTACCCCCCACTGACTCTTTTTCAATATATTGGTCCCGAGATCTTTCGTGGAATCCGAAACCATATTTAGACACTTTTAAACATAAACGACAACACCACGTAGTCAAATAGCGGATCAAAACCAAGAATCATAATGAACACATCCTCACATGACTTCTAAACATAATCAACACCCGAACATGCGAAATCCCACCCAAATGTATCAAGAACATCACAATACAAAAATTCCCAATTTAACCTAGGGCTCTAATCATATTCAAATCATCAAGATCATAGTTTATCTTTAATATCAAGAAACATCAAGATTTATCAAGAACATCACACAATCATCAAGATCCTCTTATAATCATCAAGATTATCAAGATCAACACATAAAATCATCTCATCAATCATCAAGATCATATCATAATTATTATAAAAGATTTATCAAGACACAAGCATAGAGGATGAGCCAAAGAAGAAGATTATAGCAAGGAAAATAGGTTTTGTTGAGACATGGGTTACCTCTTAGCCTTAATTAGATTCCTTGGCTATTAAGGTTCTTTCTCTAAGATCTTTTCTTCTTGATTTCTCCTACGTTGGTGATAAGAGAATTCTTGGGACTTCTTGTGTGGTGATATCTATTGTGGTGTGACTTCTAGGTGCCTCCTATGTCCCTATTTATATATCTAAGAGTCCTAATTAGGGTCTGAATGGTATGGGTTTGCTAATTCTATTTCTTATAGGATTAAGGGATTGGTTTTGGGGATAAGGGTCCATGGTCTATGGTGGACCCTTCCTAGTTAATTAATGGAATTTAATTCTCTTTTTAGGGTAAGAAATTAAATAATTAGTTCGAGTTAGAGGCCGTAACACGGGGTGTTACACTTTCCCATCACTCTTTGGTCAAATGGTCTTCCCACCACTCGATGGTCGATTGGTCTTCCCAACACTCGATGATCGACTAGTTTTCCTACCACTTGGTTGTCGACCAATCTTCTCACCACTTGGTGGTCGACTGACCTTCCCACCACAAGGTAGTCGACAAGTCTTCCCACCACTCAGTGGTCAATTGATCCTCCCACCACTCGGTGGTCGATTGGTTTTCCCACCATGTGGTGCTTGACTGACATTCTCACCACTCTGTGATCTCCTAGTTTTCCAACTACTCGGTGGTCGATTGACCTTTTCACAATGCGGTGGTCAACGGGTCTTCGTACCACTTTGTGGTTGATTAATATTCCCACCACTCGGTGGTCGTCTGGTCTTCCCACCATTCGGTGGTCGACTAACCTTCCTACCACGCGGTGGTCGATAAGCATTCCTACCATTCAGTGGTCACTGGTCGACTAGTCTTCCCACCACTCAGTGGTCGACTAACCTTCCCTCCATGCGGTGGTCGACAGACCTTCCCATCACTTGGTGGTCGACTAGTTTTCCCACCACGCGGTGGTCAACTAACATTCCCACCACTCGATGGTCGTTTGGTCTTCCTAGCACTCGTTGTTCGATTTAACTTCCCACTATGCGGTGGTCGACTAGTCTTCCCACCATGCAGTGGTTGATTGACATTCCCACCGCTCAGTGGTTGTCTAGTCTTCCAACCACTCGGTGGTCGACTAACCTTCCCACCACGTGGTGGTTGACTAGTCTTCCTACCACTCTGTTGTTGACAGACCTTCCTACCACACGTTAGTCAACTGACCTTTCCACCACTAGTTGGTCAACTAGTCTTCCTACCACGCGGTGGTTGACTAAAAATCCCACCACTTGGTGGTCGATCGGTCTTCCCACCTCTCAATGGTCGATTGACCCCCACCTCACAATGGAGAAATAAGGGAGGCACCACTCGGAGCGTAGTGGCTACCATATGGCACCCCTCTTTGCGAGACGACTGACTTTAATAGGAGCATGGGAAGGAGACCCGACCTTTGCGGTCGAAGTGTGCCTAAGGCACCCCCTCTTTCCTTAAAACCTTATTTGCCACCTCCCAAAGGTGTTAGGAGCATTGCGACCTAGGTTTTCCAAGATAAAACGTACTACGGTTTTAAGTTATGAGCCGCCAAACTTAGAACCCAGCGAACAAGAGCGTGGCAAGAACACAGATAGAAAGAAAGAAGAAGAGAATGGTTTCAAGAAGAAGAAGCTTAGATTTTGCAGTGTGTAAAAATCACCTGCTCTACTACAACTTATATTGGAGTTGTAGAATTAATAGCATTTAACATGGCATCCATGTTGGTTCTAACATTATTGTGGCATGACCATTTTTGGTCCTCCGTCAACAAATATGTTTAAATGACATTAAAAATGATGTTACTAATCATTCAAAATCCTCATTTTTCTTATTGGTAATAAAACCAAAAGTCTTGTGGATTTTTTGGAGTACACTTATCACTACTACAGAATTAGCATATAACGCCGGGTCTTTAACGTCGGCTATATGCATAGCCGAGATTAAAACCTTTTTGTATTTTTTTTTTAAAATAAAACATATAACGTCGGCTATTAAGAAATAGCCGACATTATAAATAAAATAAATAAATATACTACGACGTCGGCTATCTATTTAGCCGACGTCGTAGATTATTTTATTATTTTTTTTAAATATTCCATATATAACGTCGGCTATATCCTAATAGCCGACGTTATATAGTTTTTAAAAACAAATCACTACGCAGCCTTCTCCCTTCTCCCACCCTGCGATGCCCTTCTCCCTTCTCCCCACCGCCGACGCACAGCCAGGAGCCGTCGACGTCACTCTACCATCGCCCACCGCCACACTGCACCTTCATTTCTAGGTCTCCGCCGCATCGCTCTGCATCCGCCGCTACTCCGCCACACACAGACGAGCAGCCGACGCACCGCACCGCCGACGAAGGGCCGCACTGCACCGCCTTCCGCTTCCGCCGCACTGCCAACGCAATACGTACTGCCGGCCGGTAAGTTTTTATTTTCAGTTTTATATTTTTTAATTATTATTAATTTATTTCGAATTTTAGTAAATAATGATGATATATTTGTATTTTAGGGTTTATTGGTATTATATTTCTAATTTTAGTAAATAATGTTGATACATTTGTATTTTAGGGTTTATTGGTATTATATGTCGAATTATTATTAATTTATTTTGAATTTTAGTTGGTATTATAGCTGGATGGTGGCTTATGAGATTATCAGAGGTATTCTGGATAATGGTTGAGAAATTGAAAAACTGAAGCAGAAATGAGATTACCTCAGGTTGTGCAACAGTCTCTAAAGCATATGTGGTGGAGGAGGTTGCTGAAAAGGGATTGATCCACAATGGGAAATGAGATTCCTTTTTAAATGAGGAATAATGTGGTGGCCCTGTGGCTTGATGATTCTGAGAGCTGGACATGTAAGCTCTAAGGTTTGATTGATTATGCAAGAGGAATACTGGAATGGAAATGCAGGTTGAGATCTCTGGAAGGTGGAAGAATAAGGACCTCTGGTATGATGAGAGCTGATATCTAATCCATATACAGCAGCAACCTGAAGCTTTTAGTGGAAGGTGACTGCTGGCCAGATGTTTGATCTCTTCCTGGGAGAGGATAGCTCTGGTTTTCTTGAGGTTCTGCAGATTAGATGTATGAGATGGAGGAATAATGAGGTCCACCTTGTTGGGTGGACTCGTTGTGATAAGATTGAAGATCTGATCTGAGTCTGAGTGCTTGCAGCTACAATTCAAAGCTTTTAAGTGGAGTTTTGTAGCTGCCAAGTGGTTGATCGTGTTATGGGAGATGAGACCCTTGTTATGCAAAATCTGAGAATAGAGTTGCAGGTGGCTTATCTAGAAGCTGGTTTGCTGCTGCAGTGTACTAATGAGGTAACTTTGGCTGATTCACAGGTTGTGATCTGTGAAGATGAAGCCCCACCCTTAGCATTCTTTATTTGGCTTGCAGGTGTTAATTGATCAGAGCTGAAATGTAAAATATGATTGAGCGTTCCTAATTTTTCTAAAGGTAAACGAGAAGAAATCATGGAAAAGAGTTTATCTGACCAAGAGCAGTCTGAGAAGGATGATGAAATATCACTTTCTGATGGGAAACGAGGTGATGATGTTGTGTTCTCAGTCACGGGCCAGAAAACATAAGGAAAATTGAATAGAGAATAACAATTGGAAAATAAAGAGAAGAAAACACTGGGTTTGCTTGAGACCCAAAACTCCCTTAGACCCTTTTTGGGATTCAATTTCTGCTTGCATTATTCTCAATAATACTCCCTTTTTATAGGGTAAAATACAACTCATAGAATGGCTAAATAAGCTAAGTAATCTGCTGAAATCTTCTAGTTTATTTCTAAATAATTAAACTACCTAAATTAATTCAAAGAGTAAGAATAATAAGTTAAGTAACTATTTAGTAATTTCTAAATAACTATTTATTAGTTTCTAAATAACTATTTAGTAATTTATTAATATCTAAACTATGTAATATAATAAAATAAGACTTCCTAAAATTCTGGTCCCAAGCATGTATCAGATGATGATGTTGAGGAATATAAATTTTTGTTATATTAGTTTGTTAATAAATTTTTGTTATATTAGTTTGTTAATATAAATTTCTGATACAAGTGGATTCTCATCACACTATAAGTCATTAGGCAGTAGGCCCTCTTAAAATTGATATCTAATTTTTGTTGTGTTGCTCTGAACATAGCCGACCAAACCATATGATTTTTTAAATTTTCATTTTTATTTATTATTGTTTTCAATGATCTAAATAATTTTTTTTATTTTTTTTATTTTTCAATTACATAACACGTCGGTTTTTTATGTTAATTTTTTTTTTTTAAAATTAAATACATACAACGTCGGTTATTAATAAATAACCAACGTCGTATGTATTCAGAATATTTTTTAATATACATACAACGTCGGTTATTTGTTAATAGCCGATGTTGTATGTTTTAATAATTAAAATATATATATATATATATGTATATATATATATATATATATATATATATATATATATATATATATATATATATATATATATATATATATATATATATATATATATATACGAAGTCGGTTATTTATTTAGCCGACGTTGAATGTTTTCAATACAACGTCGCCCAGAACAACGTCGCTTTTTAGCCGACGTTAAAAGCGTTCTGTGTAGTAGTGTATGCACTAGACTTATAGTTTACCATGAAGTAGACTTGTGATTTTTTCAATTGCACTTTTTTATTTTTTCCTAATTTTGCATTATACTTATGTATTGATAGCAAATTTATTTCCAATAAGAAAAAAGGGAGGATTTTGACTGGTTAATAATGTCATTTTAACTTCATTTAAACATATCTAGAAGACCAAAAATGATCATGTCACAATAATACTAGACCTAAAGGAGGTTTTTTGTTTTGAAAAAAAAAAAAAAAAAAAAAAAGACTCAAAATGGACTGACACCTATAAATTTAGGATAAAAAATAAAATTAACTCTAATAAAAGAAATAAGTTTTTGAATTATTTAAGGAAATCAAACATAATAATAATAATAATAATAATAATAATAATAATAATAATAATAATAACAATAATAATAACAATAACAATAATAACAATAATAACAATAATAATAATAATAATAATAATAATAATAATAATAATAATAATAATAACCGTGAGATTACCCAAATAAAATTGATGTTACTGGTTTTTTTATTGATGTGTCATTGTACAGCAGTTGTATCATGGACTCGGCCCACCTTGTAAGGTGAATCCAGATCTAAAATATATAATTTAATGTTCATAATTTACATACCAAATGTTCACACTTTAAATAGACAATTTACATACTTAATGCTCACAATTTACATACTAAATATTCACAATTTATCTTTTATAAAATTATGAACATTCAGTACATAAATTGTGTACTTTTGTCCCGGATCTACATTGTAAGGTGGACCCGGGTCCATAGAATAATTTGCAATCATGGTACACATGGCATCCAACAAAAACCACAACAATATCATCAGACAACTTTATAGGCATCAACATGTGATTTCCCATCAAGTTTTCGTCCAAGAAACTGACGAAAATAATCCATTATGCTAACCCTCTTGAATTTTGCTGGAGTTTGTGGGGTGATAAGGTTACTTGCTGGACCTAGCTCACCATTCAACTTTGGGCTGTGAAATGTTGCAATAGATATCCTCTCTTTGTCTCGGTTTACTACTCCTCTATGCTCAATGCTGTTATAAATTCCATTTGTAAAGATCTGCAAAATTGATATAATCATTGTTAAATTTCTAAAAGTCTTGTATTTCGATAATCAATGTTACGTTGCAGAAGACGCTAGGTGTTAGTCGGGCGCCTAGGCGGCCGAGTAATCCGAGTATATACTCTCCACTTTTTCCACTCAGAACTAGGAGTTGTTAGACTGTTATAATCCCCAAAACTAGTCAATTGCATATGTTAGATGTTTAGTTGAGTACATGACTGGAGAAATATAGAAGAGTAGTAGCCGTAAAAAAAACCACTCGACCAAGTTGAACACCAACTCAACCGAGTTGAGATCCTACTCAATCGAGTTAAGCGCCCGACTCGGCCGAGTTAGCAGCTCAACTCGGCTGAGTTAGGCGCTCAACTCGGCCGAGTTAGGCGCTTAACTCGGCCGAGTTAGGCTCTCAACTCGGCCGAGTTAGGCGCTCAACTCGGCCGAATCGACGCCTAGTCGGCCAATTAGTCAGTCAGTCGACTAAAAGTCGCCTCTGCCTAGGGGCGACTAGGCGGCCGCCTAGACTGATTTTTATAACGGTGTCGATAATATAAGTTTGAGAAATTATATGAAATTAACAGCACGTTTGGTTCACAGAATGAATTTTGAGGTAATAGCTAGGAATGCTATTCCATAAGGAATGGAATAGGCAAGGAATAGAATATGAATTATATTCTATTGTTTGGTTCGCAGAAGGAATAGACTTTATGAATTATATTACAGTGTTTGGTTGGTTTAAGGAATAGAATGAAATATGTTTCAAAAGACATAAATACCCTTATAAAAATATGTGTTGGTGTTGGTGTTGGTGGTGGTGGTGGTGGTGGCGGCGGTGGTGGTGGTTGCGGTGGCCGTTGCGGTGGAGATGGTGGTGGCGGTGGTAGCAATGGCAACGGTGGTTGTGGTAGCGGTGGTGGCAGTGGAGGTGGCGGTGGCGGTGGCGGTGGCAGTGGCGATGGTGGTGGTGGTGGCGGTGGCGATGATAGTGGTGGTGGTGGGGTGGTGGTGGAGACGGTGGCAGTGGTGGCGGTGGTGGGGTATTTTCGGTATTATAGTACTAAAGCTATTCCCAAATACTTGGGAATAGCTAATACCAGGGGGGTCCCTAGGAATGGATATTCCCCCTACAAAGGGAAAAGCTCATTCCCGGGAACGCTATTACCTTGAATAAAATGACAAAATAAACAATGGAATAGGTCTATTCTCAGAAACGGTATTCCATTCCCGACCTATTCCATGAACCAAACACGCCAAAAAAGTCTTAGGTTAAATTCACATTTCCTAGGTACTATTATATTGTATCAAAAATAAATAAAAGTAGTTTAATTACCTCCAAAGAACCCCCAATGTTGACAATAAAGGCATTAGGAATTGGTACAATGGGAATCCAAATCCCATCCTTTTTTATCTCAAGACCTTGTGTTTCATTTGCTTGAAGGAGTATAGTTAGACCCCCTGCGTCACAGTGAGGGCTAAGGCCCAAAACAAGTTCTGGTTTGGGGCATGGTGGATAATAGTTCATTCTAATTGCCTGAATCCCTTCTTCAAAAAGCATACTCATTTCTTCAGCTTTTATTCCCAAAATTTTTGCCAAAAGGCTTAGAATCTTCATGGCAAGCTTGTTCACTTCAAGTGAGTAAGCTTCTATAGTATTCCTGCGCGATCCAAAAGTGTAACAACTAGTGTTTATGCGTATGTATTCTATCATTAGAAAAAAAAAATAAAATTGGATGTTCAGAGCAGCTCTAGCCAAGTTGGTTAGACTATTGATTTGGTTTCACAAAGTTACCAATTTGACTCCCAACTGGAGCAATGTATCGGTCATTTTTATGGGTCGTTATATCGTGCACCGCGGTGCATAATCGATTATGCACCGCGCGTCAGACACTACAGTGTGTCTAAACCGATACTGGCTCACGTATTATTTTTATATTATCAAATGAAACTACAGTTATATCAAAATAATACTGTAGTCGTGGTGAAATGAACTGCAGTATATATAAAATGAAACTGAATAACATTTCACATATTTGAGTGTATATTGTACAATGAAGCTGTAATTATATTCAAATGATCATGTAGTTGTGTTTTAATGAAATTATAGTGTATATAAAATTAAATAAAATAACATTTTCACATATTTGATTGTATAAATATTGAATGAAACTGTAGTTATATCGAAATGAAATTGTAGTACAGTTGTGTTGAATTGAAACTGCAGTGTATACAAAATGAAACTGAAGAACAGAGTTATTTTTTGCGAAGATTCTGTTTCTTTTCATTAAATAAAACGATGTCGGTTTGACAGTGTCGGTTTAGACACACTGTAATGTCTGACGCACGGTGCATAATCAATTATGCACCGCGGCGCACGATATAATTTGCCCATTTTTATTTGAGTTGGTCAGCTATGGGTAACCTAGGTTGGGTTACCTTACTGTGGTCCTTTGCCAGCTAAGGTCACAAAGCAGGGTTTACCAAGTGCATATGTTGTTGATTTTGGTATCACAAGGTTACAAATTTGACTCACGACTGGAATAGCCTATTAGTTTTTTGTTTTTTTATTTGATCCGATCAGCTACGAGCAACCTAGGCTGGTTTACCTCCTTATGGTCCTTTGCCGGCTAAAGGCACAAGGCAAGGTTTAATAACAAATTATTTTGTGGACCATAACAAAAAGTACATTTTTAATTTACTAAAAGTACATTATTTGTGTACTCAATGTACAATATACAAAATAATATACTTTTAGTACTCAAATAATGTACTTTTTCTGAATATAATGTATATTTTTAATATACTAAAAATATACTATTTATATACTGAATGTACATTATTTATTTTTTAAAAAAAAATATACATTATTTGATAATATAGTCCACACACCTGTGTAGACCATGATCCACACAATAATGATTGAAATTTACTCCGTACATACTAACTCGTCACCCCAAAAAGTGTGGTTTGTAAGATATTAGGAGTGATGGGGATATGGGACCCTAGGGGTCCATTTTATTGGGAAAGTATTGACCCAAGTGGGGGTGGTGAAAGAAGGAGGTTGGACTAAGTCTTGTTGGGCTAGGAAGACAAGCACGCATGGTGGGCCAGGGTGAAGAACATGGACCGGAAGGCGGGAGGAAGTAGGTGCGGGAGGTAGGTACGACGTGAGGGGGGAGGTAGGGGGAGGTAGGTATGATATGAGGGGGGGAGGTAGGTACGGCGTGAGGGGAGGAGGTAGGTACGACGTGAGGGAGGAGGTAGGTACGGCATGAGGGGGGTAGGTACGGCGTGAGAGGGTAGGTAGGTACGGTGTGAGGGGGGAGGTAGGTACGGCATGAGGGGGGAGGTAGGTACGGCATGAGGGGGGTAGGTATGGCGTGAGGGGTTAGGTAGGTACGATATGAGGGGGGGGGGTAGGTACGGCGTGAGGGGGGAGGTAGGTACGGCATGAGGGGGGTAGGTACGGCGTGAGGGGGTAGGTAAGTACGACTGAGGGGGGGGGAGGTAGGTGCGGCGTGCATGGTGGAGGATGCGGGAGTCGCGGGGATAGTGGCGACATGACATGCATGGCGACAAACAAGCGGAGTGGGGGAGGAGCAACGTGGGACACGCGGACGCCAGAGGAGGAGGGGGGCTTGCTATAAATAGGGGCCCTGGATCTTTGGCTAAGGGGCAACTCAGACACAATAAGCACTACAGTCTAGTGGTTTTGGTCTTGTACTCTCAATCCAGTCACCTGGGTTCGATTCCTACCAGTAGCATAGTTCGCTATAGCCCATCCTGTGGGCCTTGTTCTTTGTAATTGGGCTGCCATTCTGGGCCTGTACCTCGGGCTTTTGTACGCATTGTTCTGGGCCTAGCGCCCTACCCCCCGTCCTATGTTCCTATACCCGGTTTATGGTGGACCCGGTCCTAATAAAACCATCAAGGAGGTTTAATTACCTGAAAGCCTCTGGTAGATTAGGAAAAAGTTGAGGTGATCTCATTTGTAGTGGTAGGGTTTGAATGAAAAACATATCAGCCCAATCAAGTTTTTGCTCCTCAGATACAACAAATTGCTGACCGTACCCTTCTCTTTCCCCTGCCACCTGCCCATACTTGTTTTGCTTTACTTCTAATGGTAGATTGAAGAAGGCCTGGGCCTCCCACTTTGCTTTCTCAACCAATGAAGAATTCACTCCATGATTTATCACCTGCACTTCATTTCAATTAATTACTTTCTACTTTACATTATTATTTTTTACTCATAGATAATATAAAAGGGGAAAATTCAAATCACATATGCAACCTCTAATATATTCAGAAGGGGAAGAAGGAGCTCGCCCGGGCTTAGATCTCTAATTTAGTAGATAGTATTTGGAAGAAAATATCAAAGTTCAAAACTCAGCAACGACAATGTTAGGATTATGTTCAAAGTGGACAAATTCCTTGTACGTCGACAGAGCCACTGAATTATCGAGATTTATATCTTCTCAAACACGGCAAATTATGTTGTGCATCCGTATGCACCATGCATGGTGCATACGGATGCAAAAACGATGTCGTTTTGCATCAAAACGCACGTTCTACTTTTTTTAAAAAAAAATCAGATTCGATTCCCAGCAACAACATTATGTTATTCATTTTTTAGTTCATTCATTCTGGATTTTTAGTTATGAAATTCTGGATGTATAGTTATGTAATTCTGGATGTGTAGTTATGAAGTTATGAATGTGTAGTTATGCAATTAGTTAATTCCAGCAATGGTCCTCCGACTATATTGATTTTCCAAAATTAGTCCTTGACTTTTAATTTGGACACTTTACGTCCCTTGACTTTCAATTTTTTTCCAATTGAGGTCCTTTTGTTAGATTACGGTAAAATGGACTTTAAATGAAAGGGTAAAGTAGTCATTTTATCTGCCTAATGTATAATTCTTCGTATTTCTTCCTTGTATACGCACTTTCGGAGATCAAATTCACTTAATTGCTTAATCCCTAATGGAATTTTGTTCTTTGAGTAGATTTAGGGATTAAGCAATTAAGTGAATCTGATGTCCGAAGTCGCGCATATAAGGGAGAAATACGAAGAATTATACATTAGGAAAATGAAATGCCTATTTTACCCTTTATTTAAAGTTTAATTTACGGTAATTTGACGAAAGGACCTCAATTGGAAAGAAATTAAAAGTCAAGGGACATAAAGCGTCCAAATTAAAAGTCGAGGACTAATTTTGGAAAATCAATATAGTCGGAGGACCATTGCTGGAATTAACTCTTATGCAATTCTGGAGTTATAGTTATGAAGTTATGGATGTGTAGTTATGCAATTTTGGATGTATAGTTATGAAGTTATGGATGTGTAGTTATGCAATTCTAGATTTATAATTATGAAATTATGGATGTGTAGTTATGTAATTCTGGATGTATAGTTATGAAATTATGAATGTGATGAAATTATGGATGTGTAGTTATGCAATTCTGATTTTTTTTTTCAAGTTAGACGTTAAAACGACGTCGTTTTTGTATCCGAATGCACCATGCATGGTGCATACTGATGAAAGCATAACAATCCACCGAGGTGTGGGTGGGCCTTCGGGTTGAGAATTCAACCTGGGGGAAGATGGATAATCCTACACTAATTTTGGTCTGTCAAGCTATTATGCAATCTAGTTCCTTATTTCAATTTTAGTCAATGTGCTCAATTATTTTACCATATTGTAAATTTAGTCCCTAAATGTATAAAATAGTTAATTTATATTAGTTCTTTAAATCTTTATTTTTATTTTTTGAAATGGAAATTGATATAAGTAAACAATTGATGTACTAAATTAATATTTTGTGCATTTAGGTACAAGATTTATAACACACTAAAACATTCGAGAACCACATTGACTAAAATTGAAAATGAGTCAATAAGTTGTATTTTGTATAAGAGACCAAAGTTCGAAACTCAAAAACGGTCCACAGTGTGAGGATTATGCCCAAAGTAAACAGATCCTTTGTGGGTACCGACATTTAACCCTGTTTGTTGAGCCACATTATGGCCCTGTTTGGTAAATCGACTGTTAGCTGATAGCTGTTAACTGTTAGCTGATTGTGTTAATTAGATGGCATAAATAGTTGATAACATTAGCTGATTGTAGAAAAGTGTTTGGTAAATTAGCTGTTAGCTGATAGCTATTTGGTATAATTTCTTTTCTCAAAAAGCTAATTGAAAAAGTTGATTGGAGTAGCTTTTTGAATTTTAGCCTTTTAGAGTTGCAAAAAGCTAATTAACCAAACATTTTATATTGATATTTTAACTAAATCAAACAATTAATAGTGGTCAAATAAACCAAAATTGACCTATAGGCCAATTTTTTACCAAACAGGGCCTAGATCCAAAGTGGGCAGATCTCTTGTGGGCATGCCCACTGATATTTGGGAGAAGAAAATGAGTGCTAAAATAGATACTAGCTAACAATTGGGAGACAAAAAGTGTGAATATTCCTATATATATTATTACATACATATAAATTAGTTAATCCCCGTTTTACTAAATATTAATCAAAAAATTAAAGCAAAAATTAAAATGTTAATATCTAGTTGTGTAAAGAGGTTAGTTATAACCTGAAAGAAACCCCAATCTCTGCAGGCAAAGTGCAGCTTATGAAGTTCAGAATCTCCTGAGTCCTCACGCAGTAACTTTTGCAAGTCGATCACCGGCACACCGGAGGTGGAATATGATGCCGCCGGAGATTCGATATCGTCACGAATATAACGGGTTGGAACCAGGGTGGGGTTCTCCTTTGCTAGCTGCTGGACGTTAGGCACTGGGAGTGATGATGAGGAACCAAAGCGGCATTGCGCATCCGTTTCCACGCCGGCGGCCGCCATTGATGAATATTCTTATTATCTGTTTCAAGTTTCAACTCTATCTATCACAAGTTTATATTTTCTGCCAACTCACACTGAACGTGTGGTGGATGAGGGAAATAACCATGTTCCACCAATAAGAAACTAAGAAAGGTTCCTTCATAAAATGTATATATTTTTTTAAAAGAAAAAAATACAATTTTAGTCCCTCAATCAGTTAATTATATCTTACTAACAATTTTAGTCTAACTTTTTACCATTACAATATACACCCCTAACTCTTCAAAAAAGTAGCAGTTTTAACTCCTGTACCAATAAAACTATTGAACTCTATTAAAATTTTACCAAGTACATGAATATTTTAGTACTTTTTAATGTTTCTTCTTTAATTATAATCTTGTTTAATATCGATATTTAATTTGTAAAATAAATAATATGATTTTAATAGAGTCATGTAGGCAGGGACGGAGGCAGTATGGGGGCGCGGGGGCAGCTGCCCCCACTCCCCCACCCTACCCCTTTATATGTATGTATGTATATATCGACATATATAACATTAAACGTTGTATAAAATATATATTTATGTTTAAAATATTAATAGTTAGAGTAATTTAGTTGGTAGAACTCTAAATTTGATGTTAAAAAGTGTATTGTTGTAGGTTCAAATCTCATTAAAAAACATTTTTCATCATCTTCACTTATTTATTTTAATTTATCTCTTTCATTCCTTTCGAAGATAAATATTTTTTAGCCTACTTTTATGAATCATTCAATTAACAAATTAAAATATCTTTTAGTCTATTTTCTATGAATCATTTAATTAATGTAGTATACAAGTTTATATTATACTTCATTGTATTCAAATTATTTTATCTAATTGATTATGTTTCATATTTTGTCATAAATATTTTTACATTTTCACCCACTCAAGTATATTTTTGGCTCCGACTCTAATAACTATTGTTTAATCTATAAAAAAACATTCTATTGTAATTTATAATATATTTTGTATTTTATTCTTATTATGACTGTGTGATATTTTGTAATTGATATTTCTAACGTCATTTTAACTTCGCCCCCACTCAAATATTTTTATGGCTCCGTCACTGCATGTAGGGAAAAATATGGACGATGTGTAACAATTGAAAAGGAAAAATTTAGCGAAAAATATTGTCAAATCTCTATTTTGCAGAAAAAAATATCAAAGCTGACAAATGTTATAAAGAACAAGGTAATAAAATTTTAAAATATTTATGTATTAAGTAAAATTTTAGTAGAGTTTAATAGTTTTGTTGCTCTCGGAGTTAAAAATGTAACATTTTTGAAGAGTTATGAAAATATTATGTCATAGTAAAAAGTTGGGATTAAAATCGCTAGTAATAAAAAACTTGAGGGGTTAAAATTAAATTTTTTGCAAATAAATAAATAAATAAATAAATAAGCTAAGAAAGGAAATATTAAATAAAAGGGACTAGGTACCATAAAATACTGTGAATTTTTGTCGACCTTCGCCTAATAGATGATTAGCAGTTAATTTTCTCATTAAAATGTACTGTGAAACTTTTTTTAAAATACAGAGGAATATAATTGCTAGGATTTCATATTCTAAAAGTTAAAAATTTTAACCGAATAAAGTATAACAACAACAATAACAATTATTATTATTATTACTATTATTATTATTATTATTATTATTATGTTGGATGTTAGGTGTGATGTCATATATCTATGTAAAAGTATAATTGGATTATTTTTAACCCTTTACTGGAAAAAATGTTGGTGTAACATTTAAAGCATTATTATTGTACTATTTGGATTCAACACACAGATTTCAATACATTCATCTACACAAGTAGTGCAGGATGAAAGAAGGTATTGTTAGGGCATCCTCAATAGTTGGGGATTTTACCCCTAATTTTTGTGGGCCCCAACATCCACCTCATCATCAACTATCTCACTCAATCACAAAATCTCTTCTTCCCATTAGTTTTAAGTTTTTCACAACTTTTTGTGGACCCACCATTTTATCTCTATATTTTAAAAAGAAAACACATCAGCAGCACGTGTTGGGTGCATCCTGGTGGGTCTGACTACTCTTTTTTTTCCCCTTCTCTCATCATTCATATTTTTTCCACATGAAGTCTTGAGTGAAAAAAGAAAAATTGAAGTAAACTTTTGTGACTAGTTTTAATCAATTAAGATTTCTGAAAAATAACAATAAAATTTAATAAAGTTGTTAGTAGAAGGGCCAAAACTCCAAAATTATCATTTTACTTACTAATTAACTCAAGAATAATTATAAATGATGACACCTATATCACAAACTAAATCTATTATTATCATATCATTTATCAATTAAAAATGCAATTCTACTTGAATAAATAACATTAGGCTCCAGCTTTGGTGTCATTGATAATTTTTTTTTTTTTTTTTGTCAGACAACGAGTTGTCTTAAGCATGCCTTAATTGTAAGAGGTACAACTCATATCATATTCAAACTAATCCTCATTCACACTGGATTGGTCCAATTAAGAGGCAAAGTGCTTGTCAAATTGGTGTCATTGGCAATATAATTATGCAATATAATTCATATGGTTGGCCTAACCAATGATGCAATAGCATTAAAGTATCAAACCTTATATCTAGTACGTTACCGTACACTTTATTATTAAGTTATACCCTCAATCCATATAAAGTAAAATTTAGTTGACAAAATCGATGTAATTCCTTATAAAACAAACTTTGACATCCTTTACAATATGGAATACAGTTCATATATTTGACCTGCTCCCTTATGCAAGACAATTAGACAGTGTTTAAATTTTAAAACCATAGAGTTGTTCTTACGAAATATTACTATTACGAAAGGAATTTTCTGGGTTTGGTAGTTAGTACGAGTAGAGTAAATCACTCTTTCCTTACAAGGGGCTATAGGCGTTATGGCTTAAGTTTTTCAGGATAAAACGTACTACGATTCCAAGTTTGAGCACTTAAATAATGGAACCCAGCGAGCTAGAGCGTGGGATGAACATATGAGCCAAGAAAAAAAGAGAAGAAGTTGAGAAATGCTGAGAAATGCTATAACCCCTGTAACAGCTGACCAATTAACTTGAGAGTTAATTCAATAATTTAAAATTGAAATTGAAATTAATTCTATAATTTAGAAGAAAATTCATGTCCACATACACAAGTCAAGCCTTCCCAAGCTTACTTTGGGATTTGATTTGCACCGAACTTAGGCACGAGAGAAAAGTCTTTATACTATACAAGTCAATATGCCTTAGAAAGGCTCTTGTATAATTAGTGGTGCAAACCCACTTCCCAAACCAATGTGGGACAAAAGCTTCATAAAAGCCTTTCCACCTACATTTTCTAATTCTAATGGGTCTACTTTGAGAATCAATTTCTCATTCATCCTTTATCCACTTTGAGCGTACAATATATCAATCTCTTCGTCTCACTACGAAGAACCTGAATCCACTTTGACCCGACCCAAATCAGAAGTGGACCCCACTAATAATTGTACCACAAAATAGCCACTTAAAATGCCATTATCATGCTATTTTTCCAACAATTCTTATACCATGGACCAAGATTCACCTTGCAAGGTGGATCCTGGTCCTAAACGACGTATAAATTGTGTATTTTTTAGTATTGGAATTGTAAACTTCTAAAATATAAATTGTGTTTCTAAGTCAAAACACATAACATTGTAGAAGGAAGTTTGTGAATACAATACAGGATCATCAAATCCTAATCTGTTAATATTGTGTGACTGCAGTGTGAAATAAATTTGTGAAAACAAAATAAGGTAATCAATTACATATTTGTTAAAATTGTGTGTTCATAGTATACAAATTGTGAATTTTTAAAAGATAAATTCTGAACATTTAGTATGTAAATGGTAAACATTTAAACCCGTGTTCACCTTGCAAGGTGGACCTGGGTGTGCACAGAATAATTTGCGAAAACCATGATAGTAAAATTCCATTTTATATACCAGGATTATGTGGTCTAATGGTACCCGGGTTGGATTTCCATTTGGAAGATTATGAGTTTGAGCTTCAGTGGAGGTGTTATTGGTTCTTTGTGTTTTTAGTAGGTTGAGAAAGCGAATTTATTCTGATTATGATTATTACAGTTACTAAATCAATCTATCTATACTATTAATAAAAACAAAATCCTACATTTTAATTTCCTGTTCAAAACAGTTCTATACTACTAAGGTTTGTGTAATATTGTAAAATAGTATAATACAATTCCAAATAGAATATATTGTTTCCTACTTTCCTATTCGTACTATAATTCTACATGATTGGAGAATTAACTGATTCAGTTACGATAGAATTGTGATACAAAGTATATCTGTAACTAAACTGAAACTACTCCTGATAACTAGGCAACACTAAGTCAACTACACCTAACACCATACAATACAACCATATGCTAAAACAACAATAATAATAATAATAATAATAATAATAATAATAATAATAATAATAATAATAATAACACTAACACACCCCCTCAAGCACAAGGTTGGTGAAGCACAACATTGAGCTTGTCCCTTAAAGCAGCAAAACGCGGCGCTGGAAGCGGTTTAGTGAAGACGTCAGCAAGCTGATCTGTAGTGGAGATGTAGTTGACCACGAAGTCCCCAGAAGCCACTTTGTCACGGACAAAATAGTAGTCAATCTCAACATGTTTAGTGCGGGCATGGAAAACCGGATTCGCACATAGATAAGTAGCGCCAAGATTGTCACACCACAAGGAGGCGGGCTCTCCAGAATGCAGACCTAACTCCCGTAACAAAGAGACAACCCAAGTGACTTCAGCAGATACATCAGCAAGGGCTTTGTATTCTGCCTCTGTGGAAGACCGCGAGCAATAGTGCGTTGCTTCTTGGATAGCCAGGATATGAGATTAGAGCCCAGATAGACAACAAACCCACTTGTGCTCTTGCAATCAATAGGACACCCTGCCCAATCAGAGTCGGAATACGCCTGTATGCGAGTAGAAGATGATGGTGAAAACCGTAACCCAAGGGAAAGAGTTCCCTTAATGTAGCGCAGGACACGTTTGACAAGACCCCAGTGCTCAGTGGTCGGTGAGTGCATGAACTGGCAGAGTCTGTTCACC